AACATAGTCTCGAACACTTAGACTAATTAAGTTTCTTTTTAAATTCCGCGCGGAAGGATTCGTGGATGACATCAAGTATTATAAATGCGAATGTATAGATATATGGATGGACGTTAGAAGGAATCCATAGAATGGTTCAAAGGATTTTGATGGAATTTGGCATAATTGTAGAACATAGTCTGGAAGAGCAGACAGCTAGTTTTTTAAAGTTTCTGACACCAATATTCTCCATAAAACATATAATCGTCTTTGTCATTTGACAGGACAGAGATATATATCGTATGTTTGAAACTAGGATTTTGGTCTTTGAAACCCACTATTAGTATATACTTACTTATATCCATATGTTTCTAGTAAATATCTTAACAATGGTGGTAGAATGATACTGCCGAATGCGGAGCCGGACATACATATTCCATTAGCGAGACCTCGTAGACGTACAAAGTAGGACGTCACTATGTACACGGTTGGAGGAAACGCGAGACCCGCGCCCGCACCCACCATTGCACCGAAACTTTAATATTAAAAAACAAAATTGTAAAAAAAAAACCCTACAAAGAAGACCAAATTGAATAAAAGGTTAACAATGAAAAAGGAAAAAAATGGAACCCTTATAGGATCAATATGTTGTCCGTCCGTCTGTCTAAAACCCTTTTTATCAGGAACGCGTGAAGGACAAACAGAAGACAGGCGTGAAGTGGAAGCTATTCCGCGTTTCGTCTGATGAGTGTGCGTCCCGGAGGCATAATCTAGTCCTCTTTCCCTTCCCACCCTTTTTCTTATAAGGAAAGGATGGGAAGTGGACTTTCCGGATGAGAGGATGCATGGAAAGGGAAAATATTTTCTTTCTGTGCATCCTCTCCTCCATCGATTAAAGGTAGGCAACGCATATGCAATTGTGTATGTCTATGGGCAACGGTCACTTCGCTATTTCAGCGATTTCAAGTGCTCGCTCGTTTGTTGAAATTTATTTAATCTTATGTATTACTAATATTATAAATGCGAATGTTTAGATATATGTTAGAAGATATCTCTAGAACGATTCAACAGATCTTGATGAAATTTGTCATACATATAGAACATAGTCTGGAACAACACATAGACTACTATTCGTATATATTTCGTATCGTTATGTTTTTAATTTGCTTATAATAAACAAATTTCTAAAAATCATTTCTGTCTGTCTGTCTGTAAGTTTGCATTCATTTGTTATACAGGTGTTACAAATATACATAAAAAAGCGAAGTCTAGTAAAGAAGTTCACTTACCTAAAGTATAAATATCCTATTGAAAACGCCAAACTGCTAAAAATCATGCCAAACGCCGCGAAACATCCCCCGATCAATGTAACCGTACGATAAGACCATTTTACAGATAGAATTGACGATATTGGACCTGAAAAAATAATGGATTAAATGAGGTCTCTGGGATCCACACTCATCAGACTGTAGTTGGAATTACTTCGCACTTGACGCCTTCTGTGTGGTCGTGGTATTTCACTGAGCGAGGACAATTCCTGCAAAGATGTTAAAGCGTGCTCTACCACTGAAGTATCTTCGTTGACACTAGACCTACTAGGTCTACGTTCACTTCATCTGACACTTGACTTTTGGATAGAAAAGCGCGCAATTCTCTCTTAAAATTTTTATTATATTATATAAAACTAGTAAGTACAAAATAGGTATAAACTAGACCAATTGTAGAATGTCTTAATTCATAAACTGTAGGCTACATACCTAAACTGCTGTATAAGAAGTAACAAAGCGCAACAATCCCAGATGAAGCTGACTCGCTGGCTTGGAATACATCTCTGAACTCAACCAGTAGGACACCAAATGATTTTATAGTGCCTGGTATTAGTATGTTGACTAAAGTCGCACCTGGAAAGGGAAATCATTCTCGTGAAAAAAAAAAACACTCCGCTACCACTATGACACTCTCAGTAAGAATACGAATCGAATGACACCTCACATGTCAAAATCGGGTGTTAGAAACTGTTAAGAAGAAAATCCGATACTGTGCCGGTGTATCGCAACACTAGCCTTATTAAAATATCAACGTTTATGTCCCCTCACTACATCTGACACAAGACTTTGTTACGAAAGCGCGACATTCGCATTTATAATATTATGGTATATAGCAGTCTTTCCCAAAGTGTGCGATAACGTCCCCTTGTGGACGCTGCAGGTCTCAAGTTGAGGGTTATAGTAAAACGTTACGTTTACAATTCTCCGTTAATATACATATATAGGTCACAATAATTAATTAATTTAATTTGAAGTTATAGTGGTTTTTAAATATGTGATAATATGGGGGCGCCAAAAAATATTTATTCTCAAAGTGGGCAGTAGACAAAATAAGTTTGGGAACCACTGGTATATAACATAGTTTCAAGCCTATAGCACACAACTAGAAAAGCGAAGTAAAAGCGACTAACAAAGATAGCATAAGCTCGTAACATTGATTTGTATAGCTTCGCTTTATCTTTTAGTGATGTAAAGCCATATTGATACACTGTACGCCAAAAATATTGTCTCTGTTTACCTACGAGAACGAACCAGCCCCACTTGCCGTCAGGTGGTACCATCTCCCAGTCCCTCTCTGGTGCTGGTCCAATGGTAAAACGACCCGCGCCCACCGCTGGACTCTCATCTTCTGGCAGCTTAACTGTAAGAATTAAAAACAATTTAAATAAAAAAAAATATATATTAAATTTTTTTATTACAAGATCGATTCTCGATAGTTCAGTTGTTCGTAAAGCGTGTACGTGCGACACTATAACAACCGTCCATTATCATCATCAGCTCACTACACGTCCCCACCGAGGGGCTCGGAGCCTACCCTAAGTTAAGGGTGATTATGCCATAGTCAACCACGCTGGCCAAGTGCGGGTTGACTTCACACATATCTTTGAATTACTTCTCAGATATGTGCAGCATCACGATGTTTTCCTTCACCGTAAGAACGTCGGATAAATGTACATATGTAAAACGGAAATGGAAGAACACATTGGTACATGGCGGGATTCGAACCCAGGATCTGCAGATTGCAAGTCAAGTGCTTGACCTCTGAACCACCGACGCTCGCCGTCCATTAAGTACAACATTAATCCTCATACGAAATGAATTCGATTCTTCATAGACGTCAGTTGTCAAAGTAAGCTATACTAATATTATAAAGAGTTTGTTTGTTTAAACGTACAAATCTCAGGAAGTACTGGTCCGATTTGAAGAATTCTTATTTTGTTGGATAGTCCATTTATAGAAGGCTTTATGTTATATAACATTACGCTGCGACAAGTGAGTACTAAATTCATCATCAACCTGCCCTTATCCCTATTGAGGGTCGGCACATGTACTCCTCCATACATCTCTATCAGCCGTCATATCCGAGTCTACCCCCTTTTTACGCATATCCCCTTTCACACAGTCATTCCATACTTTTTTTGGTCTAAGTGAGTAATTATATTTTTGTTAATACCGCGCAGACGGAGTCACGGGCGACTGCTAGTCTATCATAAATAAACATTAATATTTAATTCTCATACGTCATTACGTCATAAAAATGACGTGACTCGAGTGAACAGAATGCGCCTCCGCTGACCTCTTTCCAGACAAACGCTTTATTAATAAAACTGGAGTTATCTTGGCTTATTTCCAAATATACTGGACAGTGCTGAATTTCTTTGTTCATTATAGACAACTATAAAAAAAAACTTAATAGTCTATGTGTTCATCCAGACTATGTTCTACATCTATGTGAAATTCATCAAAATCCGTTAAGCCAATCCGGTGATACCTTCATACAAACATACATCAAAACATTAGCATTTATAATATTAACTAGCTGTCGACCGAAACTACATTTACGCGGAATATAAAAACTTAATAACTAGCCTATATGTTCTTCCAGAATATATTATACGTCTATTTCAGCGAGATCCGTTGAGCAGTGCCTATACCTTCAAACAAACAAACATCCGTTCATCAAAACATTCGCATTTATAATATTAGTAAGACTAACGCTCACGACTCCGTCCGCGCGAGTCTAAACAGATTGTGGCCGATTCTCATAGCTTCTTAATATGCATAGAAGATCAGTCAAACAGTCCCAAAGGAGTATATAAACTAACATTGTGACACGAGAATTTTTATATATAAAAGACAAGCTGTCACCCGCGACTCCGTTCGCGAGGAATAAAAATTTAATAACTAGCCTACTATGTGTTCTTCCAGACTATGTTCTACATCTATGACAAATTTCATCTAAATCCTTTGAGCTGTTCCGTACATACCTTCTTACAAACATTTAAACTAATAAAATGATGAAATATGAATAATATTTTTAGATCTTACCGATAGAATAAGTTAAGTTTATGTTTAAGTTGATTATCGATAAAACACAAATAAAATGACATTTTCTAAAAATGATTCAGCTAGATCGATTTATCGACCCGAAACCTATATACTAAATTTTATAAAAATCTTTGGTGCCGATGCTGAGATTCCAATTATATATATATACAAGAATTGCTCATTTAAAGATATAAGATTAGTAAGAAGATTCGAAAACACACTAAGACGGTATTTAACGCGTACGAAGTCCCATGCACAGCAATATAACGTAGAACGACAGTCACTTAAGTGGTCAATATAAATCAATCTAGAATAATTAGGGGAATTTCTGACACGCTTACACAATGATGTCATTAATATACGTAAGAATATTACTGTTTGTATGTACGATCGATTTTATAATATTTTAAACGTATTTTAATATGTAAATATAATACAAACAGCTTACCACATTTTATTTTTCTATATTTCGATTTCATTATAACACAAGCAAACTCAGATCGATACTGACGTTTTATATATTTCGCATCTACCCGCATTAAATGTACTGCAGATAAAATGCAACTACCCACATGAATTATCAAACGTATTCTAAAGTTGCCAGTTTTAAGTTTGTACTTTTATAATATAGATGCGTTCTTTTTATAAATATTTTGACTTTTTTAATAAGTTAAATTTAAAATCTTACTAAAATAAATGCGAATGTTTAGATGAATGTTCGAATGTATCTGCGGTACAGCTCAACGGATCTTGATGAAATTTGGTACAGATGTAGAACATAGTCTGGAAGAACACATAGACTACTTATTAAGTTTTTTTTTAATTCCGCGCGAACGGAGTCGCGGGTAAGAGCTAATTTATAATAATACTGTACAATTTAACATGTTTTTTTTTATAAATCCATAGTTGTTTATTTAAAACTAGCCAGGGAACGAAAATTGTGACGCGAGAATTTTATATATAAAATATTACTAACCTTTTTTCGATGACTTTATTGTAGTCTGTCCATCTTCATTGGCAACTATAACAGCTCTGGTCTTATCTAATAACTTTTCTTCAGCCTCATCAAATGTCTCCTTTCCCTCAGAAATCGGTGCGGTCGCCGCCATTTTGTTTACAAACGCTATAAAATGCCGGATACAAGATGGCGCATAGCTTCTTAATCAATGTATAAACATATTTTGGAATGTATATTCTATTTTAAGATGTAATAGAATAATTAAAAAAAATCGCTACATAATTTTGTAGTTTTCAAAAATCAGTCTTCTAATTTGGCTGGCTTTGGCGTACCTGGAACAAAGAATTATATATTTTTTAATTAATCTTACTTATATTATAAATGCAAATACCTAGATTTGGCTTACGGTTACCGCCATGTGGCGTATGAAATCGACTACCATTATTCCGATTGTATCGGTGAATGGACTGATAGCGAAGAGCTTCGACCAACATCTCAAGAAGCTATCGCTAAACAGTTGGATTAAGGGCCCGATAGAAAAAACAGTTATCCTAGAAACCGCACGCATCGTTAGAAGGTTCCTGTCTGCAGCCCTCACCACTGGTTGTTTGAGTCATGGGATTCCGCAGCCGGTGGTATTCTATTTTTAATATAATTTATATTTCGTATATTTTTTTTATTTTATATATGAAAAGTAATATATTAAAAATAAGATTAGTAAATGAATATGGATTATAAATACGAATCTTAAGATGGAGGAAGAACTGGATGAACACATAGGCTACTAAGTTTTTTATAATCCCGCGCAGTTGGAGTCATAGGCGACAACAAGTCTTACTAATATTTTGCAATCTGCAGGTCCTGGGTTCGAATCCCGTCATATACCAATGTGTTTTTCTATTTCCTATTTACATATGTACGTTCTTACGGTGAAGGAAAACATCGTGATGCTGCACATATCTGAGAAATTCAAAGATATGTGTGAAGTCAACCCGCGCTTGGCCAGCGTGGTTGACTATGGCCTAATCACCCTTAACTTAGGGTAGGCTCCGAACCCCTCGATGAGGACGTATAGTGAGCTGATGATGAAGTATTCAGATATCATATCCAACAACACTATAACATATTTCTTTGTCCCAAGCTAACATAAGTCTTAATATAAAAAATGTAAATATTTATGTTTGGTATACCTCGCTAACCCAACACTATAATTCTGCATTGGCTCTTATACTATATTGCTGTCTCTGTCGTATTATTAAGAATGAAAGGGATAGCTATATGTTTCAATACTTCGTCTACTGCGAAAGCCGAGAAGTATGGAAATTTCCATGAAAATAACCAAGGGTATGTAATCCTACACGATGTTAAGGCTGCTACATACCAGAGTGGTAGATTTTTTTTTAATATTTTTAATTTGTGTTTAAAAATTCAAATAAAAATTGTATTATTTTCAAAAATGAATCTACAATCTTACTAATATTTTAAATGCGAATGTTTAGATGGATGTTTGTTAGATATCTCCGGAACGGCTGAACAGATCTTGATGAAATTCGTCATACATATAGAACATAGTCTGGAAGAACACATAGACTACTTATTAAGTTTGTTTTTAATTCCATGCGTACGTAGTCGCGGTCGACAGATAGTAATATTATAAACAGGAAGAGTTTGTTTAAACGCGCTAGTTTCAGGAACTACTAATCCGATTTAAGAAATTATTTTTTTGTTGAATAGTCCATTTATAAAGGAAGTCTTTAGTCTATATAACATAACGCTGCGACCAATAGTTTTTTTTAAAATTCCAAACGGACAGAGTCGCGGGTGACAGCTATTTTATAATATTAGTAAGCTTCATTAATACGAAGTCACGGACAACTGTTAGTTAAAGAAAAAAACAAGTTATAGTTTGAATTGTTTATTTACTTTGGTATTTACAGTTAAAAAAACATAATAAAAACATGGCAATCTAATAAAATGGCGTGACTTAAATTCAGTCAACCAATAATATTAGGACGTTTTATCTTCACACTACATATTCTTTTACGTGTTAGTAACAAGATAACAAAATTAATCGCAATACAAACATATCTGTCTATAAAGATACGCGTCCATTGTCCCGCAACGCACGGCACGCAACGGATTTAATTCGCTTTGTATGACATAGCATTGCGTCTATCCTCGCATCGCAAAGACAAAGCAAATCCGTTTCATCCGTGCGATGCGTACGGCGCGGGAGCGATTCCATAACTACAACAATGTATAGAACTGACAATAAATAAGTCACGTGATTGTCACGTCAGTTCTATACAATTTTGAAGTTAGCTATCAAAGCGAATGTTACTTAGTTTTATGTTACGTTACGGACAAAGCATTCAAGTTAGGTGTGGAAAAATTTAACGTCTAACAGAACTAACATTTTTTATGATAAATAAACTGCGTAAAAATTAAATTAACGGTCGTAAATAGAGATTAAAACTTACAAACGTTAGAAAGGGATTAGGTTATCAGTGTGCAAAAAAAACGAATCATCGTACGAAAACTGATGTTTAATATGCCAGAGTACACTCAGGTTATTTGTCGGTGTTACCTTAACAGAAAAATTGTAACCAAATAATCAATTGAGTAATGTTAGGAAGAAAATACAATGGCAGTGTATTGGCCCAATACTAGCCTTACTAAAATGTCGTTATGTCCCCTCACTATTCTGACACTGGACTTTGATACGAAAGCACGTCATTCCCGCCAAATGATTCAAAGTAATAACTGTCTATAAGTAACTTTGTGTTGCATTAACGACGCCATAATAGTAAAAAGCTATTAGTCGTATAGGCCTGACCTTTTTTCGTACACATAAAAAAGTTGCATTCTATTAGTGTTTCCGAGTCTTCAAAAAGTGCTAGCGACAGTCTCTATTAAACTGGAATACCACCAAATACCCTGATAGTACATTTGTGTGTTTGTAACCGTAGTTCTGGCGTGAGTCTTGTACTACATAATATTGCTGTCACTGTTATACCAAAGAGAATAAAAAGGACAACAATATGTACAAGTCACTGACGCAAAGTTGTACACTAAAAAAACCCGAGATAAAAAAGACAACGCCTACGAATACGTAAAAGGTGAATGTCTTAGTAATTAAATAGACTCGGCAAGATTCAAGGTCATTTAAATTATGAAGAGGAAAAATATTTGCATTGAATATACTTCGAAACTGAACTTGTTTGAAAAATTCTTTCACTCTTGGGAATGTCCACTAAACACAGATTTAGCCTACATTTGACAATCATTTTAACAGTGGTAGAGCCCGCTTTAACATCTTCGCACGAATTGTCCCGGCTCGCCCGGTGAAATACCACGACCACACAGAAGACAGGCGTCAAGTGGAAGCAATTCCGTGTTTCGTCTGATGAGTGTGCGTCCCGGACTAATATAGTCCTCTTTCCCTTCCCATCCTTTTTCTTATAAGGAAAGGATGGCAAGTGGAAGTAGACTTTCCGGATGAGAGGATGTATGGGAAGGGAAAATATTTTCTTTCTGTCCCAGGCAACGGTCACTTCGTTATTTCAGCGATTTCAAGTGGCCGCTCGCTCGTTTGCCACCTTATGATATAAAAAAACGCCCTCTTTCGCCATGTCTTAAAGTGAGATTGTGTAATTCGCAGACTTGTATTGCCTGGCCTAGTGGAAAATACAATATGCTGTTATAAACACTTGTCCCGGACTTTTCAAACAACGTGGTCACCATAACGAGGTCAGTCGGTGACTTCACTGACCCTATGACGTCACGTCCGGCCCACAACAAGGCAATTGGCATGACCAACCAATAAACGTTCATTGCGATGCGAACGCATTTTCATGTAGTCTTACTGCATTGGAATACAGTGCGACGTAATAATCTGACCCGGTGTAAAAGGTCAGTAAATCTTACTAATATTATAAATGCGAATATTTGGATGTATGGATGGTGTTTATTACCGTAACATCTTATCGAATTTTGAACAGACGTAGATATTAGTATGGCATATTAATTTTTTTTTTTTTTTAATTTCACACGAACGAAGTTGACACCAACATTTTTATGACTGCCAGTATATCGTGCTAATTGCATTATATTTAAATAAAAAAAAATTTAGATGGATGTTTGTTTTAAGGTATCGTTAAGGCTGAACGGATTTTGATGAAATTTAACACACATGTAGAACATAGTCTGGTAGGAAACATAGGCTACTTATCATGCTTTTATTTCCACGAGGAAGGAGTCGCGGGCTACAGCTAGTTTTCATAAATATATCGCTATTAACTCTGTCAAATACATGGGCAATAAAGACTTTAGAACCTTGGACGTAGGACAAGTGGCTTAATTCAGGTCACGGAATCTTTCGCATTCAATGAGTTTTAGCCAATATAATAAAAAAAAATATTTTGACAAAGATCTGAATTATATTCTTTGGCCAGAGATTCAAAAATCTATATATATAAAAGAAAGTGGTGTTAGTTACACTATTTATAACTCAAGAATGGCTTTACCGATATGCCTGAAAATTGTTGAGGAGGTAGCTTAGAGCCAGGAGACGGACATAGGATACTATTTATTCATTTTGTTATTTTTTTTTCGAATTTTTGCCTTGAAGAGCTGCTTTTTATTTAACTTACTAATATTATAAATGCGAATGTTTAGATGGATGTGATGTGTATGGATGGATGGGTGTTTGAAGATATCTCTAGAACGGCTGAACGGATCTCGATGAAATTTGTCATACGTATAGAACATAGTCTGAAAGAACACATAGGCTACACAAATCATTATTTTTTAAATATCCACGCGGACGGAGTCGCGGGCGACAGCTAGTTTACATTAAAAATAAGTCCACCTATTGAAACTATTACGTATTTTAAAAAAAGCATCATGTTTTTCGTTCTAATTCTTTTCAAGTCTTAAAAATGTATTCAAGAAAATATTATATAAATACGCGACCAATTCTTAATTCCAACTATTAATTCAACAAACAGCAATTAAATATAATTAACTCTACAATTGTGTCAATAGCAGAATAAATCATAGAAATGTAAGGACACGATGTTTATTTGCACGTCAAGTTAAGATCACAGATTAGAAAGATATTAAATATTTACAAAAACACTTAAATATCTAGCTTCTAGTCTATAAAGTTTAAAATGGACAAACTTATTTTTTTTTATATCATAAGGTGGCAAACAAGCGAGCGGCCAACTGAAATCGCTGAAATAGAGAAGTGACCGTTGCCCATAGACATACGCAATTGCATATGCGTTGCCTACCTTTAATCTACGGAGGAGATGATGCACAGAAAGAAAATATCTTCCTTTTCTATGCATCTTCTCATCCGGAAAGTTCATTCCATCATTTCCTTATAAGAAAAAGGGTGGGAAGGGAAATAGGACTAAATTAGGCCTCCGGGACGCACACTCATCAGACTGTAGTTGGAATTGCTTCGCACTTGAGGCGTGTCTTCTGTGTGGTCGTGGTATTTCACTGAGCGAGGACAATTCGTGCGAAGATGTTAAATCGAGCTCTACCACTGTTAAAACGTTTGCATGGATCTCATTGACATTTGGCATATATGTAGAATATAGTCTGGAAGAACACATAGACTATTTACTAATTTTAAGCCCCATTTTGTTATGTATTAATGTCTACCAATTGACTAGAGAACAGCTAAACGAACTGGTTAAAAACATATACTGAGTTTTTTTTTTAATTCCACGCAAATAAAGTCACTGGCAACAACTACTAATAATAATAAATAAAACCGTTTTTAGTTGTTAACGAGTTAACGAACGACAAAAAAAATGATTCATTGAAGATATCTTTTACATGTTTTGTTACTACGCAAAATAAAACAAGGCCACAAGTCGGGATTTATTACAATTTCTAATTTGGGTTCTGTATAAAATATTTTTTAATCTATGTGAAATCAGATTTCAATAGTATTTTATAATCTGTTAAATGTCACATTACATTTCCATTGCGTTGATTTTAGGTTATGCATCCCTTTCATTCTCTTTGACTAAAAACAACTGTACTCTTTTCACTGACGTCTATAAACGAAATGGGTATATGACGTAATAATTTGTGCGTATTTGTCCAAAAATTTGAAATCATCAAGCGCGTTTAAATCGGAACGTTATAAAGTGACTTGAAAGTCGCCTATCCATTTATTGAAATTAGTGATTGTTCCATACTGAACCCTAATAACACACTTCTTTAATATATCTGTCTCTCCTAGGTCATTGCCCGCCAACCGCGTTGCCCAGGTAATCCGTTTAGGTTACTGACACCGTTGTAAAAATACGAATGATTCGAGGACACAGTAAAGGAAGTTCCTACCCATATTTAAGAAATGTAATTAAACGCCTAAAATAAATTTGAAAATTTCTATAAACAAAAAAGTTATAAGATTGAAAGATGGCTACAAAAGGCAGAGGAAGACCAAAGAAAATATTGTATGAAAGAGGATATGTGTAAGAATGGATTCAGACATGACCGCTGATAGAGATGTATGGAGGTACATACTGTGCCAACCCTCAATAGGGATAAGGACAGATTGATAATGATGAATAAAGTCGTTTTTTATAACTTGTATATGAGACTTGAGCATAAGTCAAACACAATTAACACAGCTCACTAACCGTGAGTTTTTGAAGCCAAAATTTCTGACAAAAAAAGGAAACAATATACTTTAAATGGAGATTTTGGACTCGGAAACCCATTGTAGCTTTGTCAAAATAAGGAGTGTAAGAAGATTGTTGTTGTCTTACAAGGATCTTACATAGAAGAGGGTGGGATTCAATTCTTTGTCCATAAATATTTAGGGGGATTAGAATACCCGCGTACACTCCCATAGGAGTCTCTCATCTCTCCCATGCTGTGCAAGGAGTGTAATTCACATTTAGAATCGACTTGCACAATGAAATTAAACACATCTTTATTCTTTGTTTTTGCAAAACCATTAAAACGGAAAACATTGTTAATACCACGGTTATAGTTTTGTTGTCTCATTTATTTATGCTAATTATTCAGTAAAGCTTGAAGGTTGAACAAAGAAGTAATGAACATATAAAGTCAAATTTGGATAACCAAGAGTCCAAGAGACCATGTCATTTTTCTCGCTTATGTACTTGCTGTGGCCAGCAACTCCAGCCATGAGGAATTAAAAAAAATAATGAGTAGTCTATATATTCTTCCAGACTATGTTCTACATCTATGTAAAATTTATTTAAGATCTGTTGAGCTGTTACGGAGATAAATTTAAGTAAACGTCCAAACAGCTACTTGGATCTTGCTGAAATTTGACACAGGCTTTTTATTAATTCAGCACAGACAGTGTCACAGGTGACTGCTAGTTAAATAATAAAGAAATATGGCCAAATTTTATCATACCTCAAAAATGGTAAGAAATTTTCTTGATATAGTGCCAAATAGAATGAATCATTTCTAGAAATAATTTATGGATATCATGTTTTTCATAATATAGATCATTTACCAATATTATCTGGATTCAAGCCAAAAAAACAAAAAAATCATTTCCTCAAGATGGAGTATCATTTTATTTTTCAACTGGCTACTCCGACCCGCCGCGCAATTAAAAAAAAATTAATAACTAGCTTATGTGTTCTTCCAGACTATGTTTTACATCTACGACATATTTCAGCAAGATCCATGCTGCTGTACCAGAGATACCTTCTAACAAACACACATCTAAACATTCACATTTATAATATTACTAAGATAGTTTTTGTTCAAACATATGCCTTAATGTTGGTAATAAGTATGTATTGTTTTATTTATATAGGTGAGTAGAGAGGTGTGATCGGACTGGAACAAAAGAAAGTCTTGTCTCTGCCTACCCCTCTGGGTAGAGAATAAGAGTTAATATTGTAAGTGTATAAGAGAAGCTCCCTCCCTCACTGTTCATCCTCCAAGTTTAATATGGGTCAAATGTAACAAAGTATAAAGCATTTTAACATAAGCACAAAATTATAGTTCAAACCACCAACACTTCAAATATTTACTAATGAAATAAAAATATAACAATAATTTGATCTCCAAATATATTTATTTCGATTCAAAATAAACGTAAATAGTTAGAACTGTTTCAAAACGCTACCGTTTCCTTAGACAATGTCTTTGTTTAGTATAAATTCTTTGTTTATAGAAAAAAATGAGTCATATTTCCTTTATGTAATAATGAATTACATTTAATTCCAGTTTTAAGGTAATTGATATGCCTTATCAGCTTTGTACTCGGTATTTGAAGCATTAGAAAAATAAAACGTATATAGTGGTTAAAATTTCGAAATCAAATCTAGTCGAGTAACTCAAGTATCAATATTCAGTTATCGTTTAACAATGTTGTAAATTGATTTATAATTTATATAGAAAGACCAAAACAAATTAGATATTTTATAGTTATAAAGATCTAGAACTAGTTTACGCAATTAAAAATACTTACTCGATATGTCTTGAGCAGGTTTTGCAAAACAAGGTCATTAACACAAAAATAATTCATAAAAAAACCACATTAGCACAAGCTTTTTCACTAGGACATTGCAAAATATTCATCACAATTGTGGGAGTTTCTGAGAATATGACATATGGTACCATCACCACACAGTTTCAACAATGAATGACGCGAAATGAATGAAATTGTAGAACTGACGCATGTCATTAGTGATGTAACAAAATTAGCGGTAACCGATTAGAGTTATAACGTTAATATTTTAATAAGATTTTGTTTGTAGTTAGATCAACTATTATAGAAATTAGTTTTCGACAAACGTCCAAACGTAAATAAAAATCACAGCGTCACATGATAACAAAGTATGGTGTGTTTTTTGTTTACAGTTTTCTCTGACTCATTTATTTCTTACGTAAATATTATGATGAAACTCAATAGTTTATTAGGTTTGCGAGTTTATAGAAGAGAACAGAAAATATTTATTTTTCTTTAAAATAAGTGATGAACTTTTTTTATTGATTAATTCTTTTATTTTAACTGCTTTCCCTTATAAAGTCGTTTCAAGTTCAAGAAAGTTTTTAAATGTTGAAAAAATATTTTTTTATGAACTTATAATTACATTTATTGATATCCTGTTGGTGGAAATTTCTTTTTTTTTTCTTCGGATGTGATGTCCGATACAAATATACCTATGTAAATTCACATAGTACTTAATTTTTATAAGATCTTATTCTTACCTTACTAATATTATAAATGCGAATATTTAGATGAATGGATGTTTGTTTGAAAAGTTTACGGAACGGGTCCACAGATCGCGCTGAAATTTGGTATAGATGTAGAACATAGTCTAGAAGAAAACATACGCTACTTAATATTTTTTTTTTAGTACTACGCGGACGGAGTCGCGGGTGGTAGCTGATTTTAAATACAGATACAAAAGGACTCAGGCCTTAAGTAAAAGATTGAATTAAATATTAATGTGAAATATATAATAAAGAAAACATTTATGATGTACTTATGAATAATGTACCTTTTACATTACTAAAAAAATGTCAAGTGACTTTGCTTTCGCTTGAAACCGAGAAGTGTGAAAAAAAACAAACGCAGCCAATGATTTTCGAAATATTTCATTGGTCAGTATGATGAATTGTTGATTAAAGTCAGAGCGAAATGCAAACAGATTTATCGCGGCACAATCGCTTGGGCAGTTGTTTACAAAATAAAAGTCGCATTCCTTCCAATTCCTATTATCGTCAACGTTACTTAGAACCATTTCGTAATTCGCTTTGTAATTTTAGATAATGCATTCCGAAAACACGTTGTTAATACTTATAACTTTTATAATCAATTTAAATATTATAACGAGTCTAACAATTAAGGAAAAAGGTATTAATTCAATACAAGAAAACGAATATAACTCTATTTATAAAGAAAATGACGGTTTACGTAGTCGATTATTGGATAAAAAAATCGAATATCAAAAATCACAGATGTTAGACCATCTTACTAATAATACAGTGTTCGTTGATGGTATACCACATTACGATGTTAATACAGCAAAAGAAAAAGAACGAATTAAAAATATGGAAACCGGTTTTCTATCTATGTTGTCTATGAAAGGTGTCAAATATATATTCAAAAGAGGTTTCCATTGGAGGACGTGGAGGGATGTTGAAAGTGAAGGAAATAAGACGATAATCTGTTACAAATGTAAAGGATTGGGTAATACTTCCTGCAAAGATTGTTTAACCTCTGGTTATTGGGTAAGTTACTTCCAAATATTACTTAATTATAATATGATGGTACCAACCATAAAGTACAACAAGATCTGCTTATTAAATTACTAATTGAACAAAGGTAGAGACCTAAGAGACTATGGATAGATTGTATGAAAGAGGGCGGATTCAGATATGAGGGCTGATAGAGATGTATGGAGTACTACATACCGTGCTAACCTTTCGTAAGGATAAAACCAGGTTCATGATTACAACAAATTACAGTTTGATTTTCTTGCAACAAACATATTAATTATGAAGTGGTTTTTTAAAGTTTAGGATACACCCTTATCTTTATCAATAAACAGGTAATGAAAACGAGGATGGAGCGCTTTTAAAAAAAATCACATTTAAAAAGCATAAAAGAATCTCTTTAAATACACTAATAGTTGTAAAATTGTTTCAATTTTAAAAAGGGTAACATGAACATAATTACTGGATGTATGTATGTATGTTTGTTAGAATGTATCATCAGAACGGCTGCATATATCTTGCTGAAATTTGTTATAGATGTAGAACATAGTCTGGAAGAAGTCATAGACTATTTAAGTTTTTTTAAATCGTAATTTGTAAACATACCTTGTCCCACAGATAATGGAAGAAAAGCCACCGCCGTGTCCATACGAAATACTATCAGTATCTAACAATAATCAAATATGTTCTATTTATTTTACTCAATGGAATGATATACCAAGTGCTTGTCCTACTTTGATTAATTTAAACGATTTGTTATCCGCATGCGATAATCCTTTAGAAACCGAATGGAAAATAACGAGTAAATATAACGATTTAGAATCGGAAACAACACTAGCTGACATATGCAAAGGGCGGGAAAGTTGTCGACTTTTGACATTATACACGGTGAGATTCTTTGTTAATAAAATACTCATATAGTTGTTAAAGCCTCAATTTAGGTTACCTATATAATTTGTTGGTGGAATTATTTTAATAATTTAAGTAATTTAATAATGTGCAGAGACTTAGATGTCATTATTATGTATTCCGTCAGTTTTGTGTAAATATGTGTAATAGACTTAAGTAAATCTTACTAATATTATAAATGTGAATGTGTAGATGGATGGATGTTTGAAGGTATTTAACTGCTGTTTAAATCTTGCTGAAATTTGGCATACATGTAGAACATAGGCTGGAAGAACACATTGGCTACTAATTAGGCCTTTTTTTCTAACTAGGCTACAGCTAGTTTAACTATATAGTTGCCGTGTCCAACTCGAAGTACTAATGAATCTCGTGCTTTTCAGATATTACCGCATTCCATACTATTTCGAATTATTAATAGAACAAATCATATAATTTATTCAAGAGTCATGATGGACGGACATAGGAATTACGCTTGTGTAGATAACTGTGGTATTATAGATAGAAAAACTAACAGAATTATCAAAAATGACTCTCCACTTATGTTCGATTTATTAGCAACGAATTCGGATACGCATAAAAATAAAAGGGAATACAAACAGTATAATAATACGTTTGAAACGACAACTGATAATATGTTAAAAAGTTTATTTTTCCTATCAAAAAATCTTAACAATAATCGTTATAACGGATTTGGACAAAAGAGTATGAACACAACTAATACTAATTTAAAAATGGAAGAAGTACTAACAAAAAGTCTTTGTAAAAAGATTGAAGAAATGTACAAAGATAATAATGATTATAGCGAGACAATAGAAACATAAATATATTTGAAGGTCAAATTGACATAAGGCACGAATAATCTTGTAGATCGTGGTTAGTGTTGCCAGACGTCCCGATGAACTCGGACATAGGTAGACTTTTTAAATAGTTTCCCGGTTGTCCGGCTTCAAACATTTCTCAAACAAGAGTGGCTTTTCTACCCAAAATTCAGCAAAACTGGCTAATCTGTCCGGCTATTAGGTTTAGTGACCTGGCAACCCTAATCGCGGTTCTAAACATGGGAGCTACCAATAAAAATTGCTTCGAATTGACGCAGTTATTTATAAATGAGCACTCTTTAAATGGACTGGTTATGAGACGTATTATTTTGTGTCTATTTTACTCCATATTGGCATTGATGTACTGGTTTGGTATAGATTCAAACTAATAATATAGATAGACTGTTACGTTGATGTTACTGTGTTACAGACTCGTTTAAATTTGAACGCAAAAACTGTTATTTCCAAGCAATCGTCTATCCATTTATAGAGATTATTGGTTTTATATTACACTGTTAACTGAATATGTTTAGAAGTCAACTTAAGGGTAAGTGAAACTTAAAGCAAGTGAAGAATAAAAGCGGATAAATAAAATTAACAGCTATATTATGAAATCTTTGATTATAACAATGTTTATTTTGTTGTGAATAAAAATCTGCAGGAGTGAATTTTGATTTATTAACCTTAATCACCCCGTTATTGTATCATCAAATTATTAGTAAAATGCTTTTGCCCACAGCTGGACAAAGGTCTTTTGTAATGCCAACGTTATATAACTACATAGTTAATGTGTTAACAATTATAAATAGCTATCGTTATTTGTTATAACGATGCAACAGCTATAATACCGACTGACCTATTTGTTATTGACAAGTGACGTTTGACTTTTATATTATTAATTTTGGATTTTGAAGAATGAAATTGGAATAAATTAAAAGGGGCACGGTATTACAATTAATTCACTCTCAGTATTTTATATTCGACGTATCGTGTTCGCGCCCTGTCTATGTCGCGAGAAAACGCGGGAGTCAATCCCAGTGCGAGATTTAGCTCCCAGGCTTTTGCGCCACACCAAGAAATAATTTTATTCGTATTGTATCAATTTCACGCAGACGGATTCGCGGGTCACAGCTAGTTTTGTAAGAAAAATAACTATAGAATTAGAAAATATTACTTGTACAATAGCTGTATTGCTTGGTCTGGCTTCGTGTGAAATCATAGGGTTGAGCTATATGATTGATATCGATAAAAATAATGTTAATATTCTTCAAATGGTTTATTCATTTTAACAAAAATCTCCATATTATTATTTAGTACGATATTATCACTTACATCTTCTTCAGATGTTTTCTCATCACTATCATTTTCCGATTCCATTCTACGTCTACGATCATCGTCTGACACTTCAATTTTTTTAATAGCTGTATTCGTTCGGAATAATACATCATTAATTGTTAATCGACCATTATCGTTTTCTTTTGCTTTAAATTCCTCTTCGGAAGCATTTTTATTTAATTCCTTTTTTAAATTATCACCGATTTCAAATATAATTTTAATCTGTTTACCTTCAACTTTATTAGCATACTTATTATCAATATCATCTATAATTCCATCTAAAATAGTTCTAAATTGATCGATTACAGCATTATTCGTTTTTAAATCTTTCAATTTTTTCGTTTCAATCGATATAATTTTTTTATCATCCTTTTCTTTAGTGGCAACACTTTCTTCGAACGCGCCAGTAAAGAATGTGTCAATTTTTTTCGAACGAGTCATATCTTTTTTTCTTTTAGATTTTCTCTTTTTCGATTTGTGTTTCTTTATATCTGATGCACATTTTTTAACCGTGTTAACTGTGTTTATTTTTACCGTATCTGTGATTATATAATCCATAAAAGGTAATTGTGATATCGCTTCAATTGTTGATAAAAGATCCGGAGCGATCTCTTTGGATTTTGGACTACCACAAACGTATGTTTTATTCAAAAAACTATATAATACCTGTGAATAACTAATCTCGTCTTTAGATCTTTGATTTATACTATTATTTGATGAATTATCATTTTTTAAAGAACTAAATATATTTATTATTTCGTTTACAAATGATTTTCTATATTCCTTTTTTTCCAAATCTGAAACTGACGTTGGTACTTCTTCCAATTTTATTGTCAAATTTGCGGCTTTTGCTGCAACTAAATCATAATTTTGTCTTAACAATCTTGATTTTTTCTTTATTTATGTAAAAATAAATAAAACAAGTACAACTTACCAATGAAATATAAATATAGAACCAACTTCATATTTTCGGTTGCATTTCTTCATAAAAATGTTTTATAATAAAATAAAATTTTTATTGTTAATATATTTTTATTGCATATTGGTAACGTAATTTATATTTTTTTTTACATTGTATAAAGCAAAAATATCTTAAAATTATTTGACTCAATATGGTCAAAGCTGAATAAGCGAGAAATAAATCTCCTGGAATCTCGCTTGTCGAGTTTCGACTTTATTTAAAATCACAAATACAACATATAATTATATACAATTTTTAATACATAGAAAAAATATTTTTTAACCATAGCCAAAGTACACATTTTTTCCAAAAACACGGAAATTAAAAAAAAACAATCCTTTTTTTCTTACATTGCCTACCCTTATTTTACATTACAACACTTTGTAACACAATTTTTACAAAATAACTAAAAAAAAATAGTAAGCAGTTATGAATGAAAGTCGCTGTTTATTTAAATTAGCCGTTAGATTTAAATTAATTATTTAAGATAGATAACATTTTTTAAACAATACGGAAGAAACTCCAAGCTATTATTCCTCATATTATAAGTAAGGAAAGGGTACGAAATTAAAATCTTCAAATATAATAGAGAATTTTTAAACACATGTCATATATTGTCTTTGGTATTTGTTCGCGCCAAGAAGTTTAGGCAAGCGCCTACCATTTTACGAAGAGCAATGACACATCTTACTAATATTATAAATGCGAATGTTTAGATGTAAGAAGGTATCTCCAGAACAACTGTATGGATCTCAATGAAATTTGTCATATGTGAAGAACACGTAAGGCTACTAATTAGGTTTTTTTCTTTTAATTCTGCAAAGACAGAGTCGCGGGCGACAGCAAGTCCCATATAAATTACCATTCCGTTTTCACGGTTCTGTATTCACGGCATATTTTGTTCTATTTTGGATAAAACAAGCCATTTGAAAAGAATTACATCTCTTATAATATTTTTTTTTAAATTACTTTCTTCGTCAGATAGCTCAAAATCAAAATTTGGCGCCAATGACATGCTTTCGTTACAAAGTCTAATGTCAGAATGATTAGTAAGGGGACATAAACGTCGACATTTTAGTAAGGCTAGTGTTGCGTCAATACACTAGCTGATTTCGGGATTTCCTTCCTAATAGATATCGTACATTAATTTAGTACGTATTAGTAATTTGTTTTATAAACACCGCTAAACACTCACGTATATTCGTCCGGTGGCGGCACCGACTAGTTTCGAGCCCATCGGAAGCCCTTCATCAGGATGAGTGGTACTGGTATTATTTCGCGGACGCGGCCCTCAGCTCACTGCGCGCCTGCGCTCTTAGGGCGCGTCTTGAGGGTCGCGAGGTGCGCCGGCGTCGTCGACGATGTTGATACTAAAGCGTCGGTGGTGTTGTTCAAGTTTCTGATGAACCTCCGATGGGCTTGAAACTAGTCGGTGCTGCCACCAGACGAATATACGTGAGTGTTTAGCCGTTTTTATATAAGTTTATTATAATGTCTCACGAAAGTTTGAATAATTTAATATGTAACACACCTGTAAAAGGCATTAATTTACAAATAAATAAACGTAACCGCGAATAAAGATGTTTTACTTTATTTGAGAAATTTTTATTATAATTCTAATTAATTCGTTGTGTCTCTCTTGCGGTGTACACGACGTACGTGTCTCGACAGACACGAATGCCAACTGAAGCGCGCGTTACACGTGCCGCATTTGTATGGTGCCTCGCGCGAGTGTAATCCAGACACGTGTCCGCGAAGTTTTGCCTGGTTCTGGAATTACCCACATCGTAAGACAGTCGATAGCTCAGTGGTTAAGCTAAGCAGGTCTTAAGTTCGAATACTAAACCAATGTGTTATATTTACTTATGTACATTTATTCAATCTTACTAATATTATAAATGCGAATGTTTAGAACAGTCTTTCCCAAAGTGTGATATAACGCCCCCTTGTGGATGCTGCAAGTCTCAAGTTGCGGGTTATAGTAAAATTTTCGTTTAGAATTCTCCATTAATATACATATATAGGTCACAATAATTAATTAATTTAATTTGAAGTTATAGTGGTTTTTAAATATGTGAAAATATGGGGGCGCTAAAAAAATATTTATTCTCAAAGTGGGCAGTAGATGAAATAAGTTTGGGAACCAATGGTTTAGAAGGTATCTCCAAAACGTCTGCATAGATCTTGATGAAATTTGGCGTACATATAGAACATATTCTGGAAGAACACATAGACTACTAATTATGTTTTTTTTTTAATACCTAGCGGACGGACTCGCGGGCGACCACTAGTATTCTTATAAAGGAAAACATCGTGATGCACATATCTGAGAAAGTCAAAGATATGTGTGTAGTTATGCACTGGGTCAGCATTCACTATCACATAGTCTCACTTAGGTGATTGTATGAATGTTTTCGTAGTCCATACATACATATATTTTGGATGATGTAAATATTCTTACCGGAAATGCCTTCCCACAATGATGACAAAGATGACCTGCTTGGTCCTTTTCGTGGACATTTTGCTTATGTAGGTATAAAGATGTATGACTTTTGAATACCTAAAAATATTTTAAAAAATCTATATTTAATTTTGACTCTGTTAAAGAATTTAATTTCCGACCCACTTAACAAATATCCCACATTAGCCAATATAAGTTGAAGTTGAAACTATTAACTAGTTAAATTTGATTTGCAATATTTAATGACAAACATCGAGACAGGTGAAAGTTTGGGAAGGGGAATTTGACAGAGAAGAGGATGCTTTTGTATGGGAAATATCGTCTTTCTGCAGATGCATCTGCAATTGCGATATCTAAAGACAAAAGCTTCGCTTTATTAGCGAATTTAGAGCCGTATGCTTGTTTACTAGTTTATAAAAGTATAAAAACTTATCAAAAGATAGTTTACCTTTTGGCAGTCTGTACATTTGTGTACGTAATTTTTTAAGTGATCCCAATCCACGTGGTCTCGGAGTCGAGTCTTGTTTGCGAATCGTTTGCCACATTCACTGCACATATATCTTTAAAAAACAACTTTGTTTAAAAAAAATGACTTCAACACTCTTTTTAATACGAATCGATTGATACCTCACTCGTTAAAATCTGTTCACTCGTTTACGATACAGATGTTATAAAGTAATTTACATACAACCTTATTACGTAAGGAAGTGAATTTACATATAACAGCTGATAGAAATGGAAGAAAGAGCATATATTTAACATATAAGTGGGCTAAAAAAGACATAAGTAAATTTTTACTTTAAAACGCACTTCCCGCGAAAAATTTCAACTAAAATATTATTGTTACTTGTCAAAAAAAAGTCAAAGATTAAACAACACAGATAATCCAATATTTGTCATAGAGTAAGTACTCACTTGAAATCATTCTCAGAGACATGTCGCATGCTGATTTTCATATGTTGTTCGTACGTAGCTTTAGATGAGAACGTTCTATTGCACGGCTCGCAAACTAAATCACCTTTGGCTCTGTAAATAAATTATTTGATTCCATCTACCGTATAAGTGTATACGAGACATTAACATTACAAAAAAGACTTTATCCGAGCAGAATAAAAAAAAATCTGGTAGAAATATAATCTATGTTATTTAGTAATACTATATTCTTTCTTTCTTTCTAATGGTGAATGATTTTTTGAAATAGCGTCAGTAATTTTTGAGTTTATTAGTTATATACTAAAGTACAAATATATCCTCTGTATAATAGCTGTTTTTCGCGGCTCCATCTTCGTAATTAAAAAAAAACTTAATAACTAGTCTATGTGTTCTTCCAGACTATGTTCTATATCTATGACAAATTTCATCAAGATAAATACAGCCATTCTGGTGATACCTTCAAACATACAAACATTCGCATTTATAATAACTTACTAATATTATAAATGCATTTAGATGGATGTTTGTTAAAAGGTATCTCGGGAACGACTCAACAGATCTTAATGGAATTTGGCAAAGTATTAACATTTTTTTTATTCCGGACGGAGTCGCGGGCAACAGCTAGTTAGTAATAATATATTAAGATATATTACCTGGCAGTATGACTATCCATATGTCTGGCTAGATTTCCTCTCCATTGAAATCTTTTGTCACATTGCGGACAAGGATATGTCTCTCTTTGCTTATTCACTGATGCTTTAATCTCTTCTATTCTGTCTCTTTTCTTCTCTGGATTATCTTCTAGAGGAGAATCTTTTAACTTCCTTGAAACAGTTTAAAGATTTAGAAGGACAAGAAATATTACTAATAGTATCATCATCAGCTCACTATAAGTCCTGAGGGTCTCGGAGCCTACCCTAAGTTTAGGGTGATTAGGCCATAGTCAACTACGCTGGCCAAGTGCGGGTTTGCAGGTTCTTGGTTCGAATTCCGCCATGTATTATACCAATGTGTTTTTCGATTTACATATGTACATTTATCTTGTCATGGTGAAGGAAAACATCGTGATGCTGCACATATCTGACAAAGTCAAAGATATGTGTGAAGTCACAGCACTTGGCCAGCGTGGTTGACTACGACCTAGTCATTAACTTAAGGTAGGCTCCAAGCCCCTCGGTGGGGAGCTGATGATGAATGACAGCACTTTTTATGACGTTTGTATGTTTGTAAAATATAATCTTGTACTTGAAACTTAGAAAGGAATTAAAAATCTATATATATATATAAAAGAAAGTGTAAGTGTTAGTTACACTATTTATAACTCAAGAACGACTTTACCGATATGCCTGAAAATTGTTGAGGAGGTAGCTTAGAGCCAGGAGACGGACATAGGATACTATTTATTCAATTTTTTCTCGAATCTATGCCTTGAATAGCTGCTTTTTATTTAACTTATCTATATTAAGTTTTTTCAATATCCACGTGGACGGAGTCGCGGGCGACAGCTAGTATTATATAAAATAAAACATATACCTGACTTTTAATAATATTTGATGTTTTGAGCTGGTTTTTACATGTTTTTGTAAATTGGATGTTGTTGTGAAAGACAATCTGAAAAATAAAATAAGCAAGTTTTTTTTTTAACATAAAAACATAACTTAATTTTATAAAAATAAATAATTATATTATAATTTTTTTTTATTTTGAAAATTGAAAATTAAATTGGAGCATCCTGTATAGTAAAGGAGTGAACAGAATTTGACAGAGTGTCAAATACGTCTTAAATTAGTTTTTTTATTAATCTCATATTCTCTATCTCTTTCTTACCTGCATGTTTCACAATAAGGCTTCCTTTTCTGTCCAGTTTCTATGCGATGCGTTTCTACATGTTTCCTTAAAGATGTCTTCCATCGAAACGTCTTCGAACATAGTTCACACGGGAAAGATGGTTGTTCTAAACTAAGAGAGAGAAAGAGAGAGAAAAAGAGAACTTTGTAGGATTTTTTATATTTCCAGAACTAATGAGAACGAAATTTGACACATTCAAAGGTAATATGGACAAGATATAAAAAAAAAATTAAAAAAAAACTTTGATCATGAATTATGATCGAATTTCGACTAATAGGCGAACACTAATAAAAATTAATTATATATACAGTCGAACCTCTATAAGCGAGAAACTCTAGAGAAACCTCAATACGCGAGAATAGCGGTTTTTCACTCTCGCTCATCCAGATTCAACTGTATATCTTATTTTAAAAATAATATATTTCTTATGTGCCAACGGCATTTACCAATGTGTTTTTCTATTTCTGATTTACATATGTACATTTATCCCACGTTCTTACGCTTAAAGAAAACATCGTGATGCTGCACATATCTGAGAAATTCAAAGACATGTGTGAAGTCAACCCGCACTTGGTCAGCGTGGTTGACTATGGCCTAATCACCCTTAACTTAAGGTAGGCTCCGAGCACCTCAGTGGGGACGTATAGTGAGCTGATGATGATATTTCTTATTACCTGTTGTCATCTTGAATTTTTTCAATAATTTCATCCTGATCACAATTTAATTTATTTTCCATTTGATAATCTACACTGTAAGAAATTAAACGTTATTTAATCTTACTAATATTATAAATGCGAATGTTTAAATAGGTGTTTATTAGAAGATATTTTAAGAACGGCTGCATGGATTTTTATGTAATTTGTCATAGATATAGAACATAGTCTGGAAGAACACATAGACTACTAATTAAGGTTTTTTTAAATTGGTAACGCAGCAAGTTTCTTACTGCAAAGAATTAAAAATAGCCTATGTGTTCTTCCTGACTATGTGTTGCGGGAGCATCCTGGATGTAGGAGGCACAAGACCGGTCATCGTGGCGATTTGGGGCCTATGCCCAGCAGTGGGCGTCTCATAACTGACAAGAAGATGTTCTATATGTATGCCAAATTTCATCGAGATCTGTTAAGCTGTTCCGGAGATATCTTCTAACATACATCTAAACATTCGCTTTTATAATATTAGTAAGATAAGCTACATCACCTTTGGTAATGCGTTATATTATAATGTTTTGTAACACTTCTCTTGCTTATAAAGTTGTTATTACATATGACACATTGAAATCTCTTCTTATGTCTGTTCATATGATAATTATATGAAATTTCACTTGAAAAAGTACATTTACATATGTTACATTTATATTTTGATGCATTCTGTGAAGAAAAAAAAACAATATAATGAGTGTCCATTGCACAAATTGAATCCCGTCATGTAGCAATGTGTTACATATGTACATTTATCGTATGTTGTTACGGTAAAGGAAAACATCGTGATGCTGCACTCTGAGAAAGTCAAAGATATGTGTTGAAGTCTCTAGGTTCTCGCTTATGAAGGTTGGTTGGGTGACAATGCCTCACTTATAGACGTTTCTCTCTAACCCGAGTTTCTCGCTTAAGCGAGAATATTCTCATATCTACAAAGAAATTCACAGATATATATGAAGTCAACAGTGACATTTTTTCTCGCTTATGAAGGTTGGTTGGTAGACAATGACTCACTTATAGACGTCTCTCTCTAAACCGAGTTTCTCGCTTAAGCGAGAATATTCTCATATCTACAAAGAAATTCACAAATATATCGCTTATGAAGGTTGGTTGGTAGACAATGACTCACTTATAGACGTCTCTCTCTAAACCGAGTTTCTCGCTTAAGCGAGAATATTCTCATATCTACAAAGAAATTCACAAATATATGTGAAGTCAACAGTGACATTTTTTCTCGCTTATGAAGGTTGGTTGGTAGACAATGACTCACTTATAGACGTTTCTCTCTAACCCGAGTTTCTCGCTTAAGCGAGAATATTCTCATATCTACAAAGAAATTCACAGATATATGTGAAGTCAACATTGACATTTTTTCTCGCTTATGAAGGTTGGTTGCTTAAGCGAGAATATTCTCATATCTACAAAGAAATTCACAGATATATGTGAAGTCAACATTGACATTTTTTCTCGCTTATGAAGGTTGGTTGTGTGACAATGACTCTCACTAATTGAGATTTATTTCGAACCCGAGTTTCTCGCTTAAGCGAGAATATTCTCATATCTACAAAGAAATTCACAGATATATGTGAAGTCAACAGTGACATTTTTTCTCGCTTATAGAGGTTTCTCAAGAGTTTCTCGCTTATGAACGTTGGTGGAGACCAAACAATGTCGCTAGATTATAGAGGTTACTTGTTTAAGAAGGTTGGTTGGTACTGGACAATGACTCTCGCTTATAAAGGTTTCTCGCTCAACCAATACCTGTATTGCATGCATTGAAACGAGATAAAATGCGTTAATTCTTACCAATTCATGTTTCAAATAAATATGGTCTTTCAAATCATCTGCATTCGGAAATACTATTATACAATTTTCACATTTATATATCGAATTTTTATATTCTTCTTTGCAAAATAATATACTTCTTTCTTCTTCTATATCTTCTACGCTTAATTCAATCTCTTTGTATTCTTTAGTATATATCTCATTTGATTTACTTGATTTCTTTTTTCTTTTTATTTCTATTAAAGGTTCTCTGTCTCCGGAATCTGTGTCTTCGCATTTTATATTACTTATATTAACATCCCATATTTTTTCTGGTTTGATGTCCTCTATATAATTATCAGATGTTATTACTGTATCTTCAATTTTATGATTCGCTAAGTTTGATGTTGATTTTATAAGTGATAAATCTATATTCTGAAAAAAAAATAGTCGTTTTTGAAGAAAAAAAATGATCTTACTAATGCATATTTATAGATGGATGGATGTCGGAAGGTATCTACGGGTAACCGGTAACAGCTGTATGGATCTTGATGAAATTTGACATAGATGTAGAACATAGTCTGGAAGAACACATAGGCTACTTATTTAGTTTTTCATAGTACCGCCAGACAAAGTTATGGGCGTCAGCTAGTCAGATATAAAAGTAAGCTACATTTGCCTGATTCAATTTATCTAAGTTCGTCCAGGCTATGTTCTCTATGTATGCTAAATTTCATCAAGAAAAGTACATCCATTCTGGAGATACCAATTTTTTTTTATACGAGAAGAGGCAAAGGAGCGGTGGGAACACCGAGGTGATCAACAACACCCGTGGACATCTGCAACACCAGAGTAACTGCAGATGCGTTGCCAGCTTTTAAGGTAATGGTATGCTTGCTTCTTGAATTTCCCTAAGTCGTATTGGTTTGGAAATACCATATATAAATAATATAATAAAAGATGTAAGCATCTATTAATTTAATCCTACTAACCTGTCTCAAATAATTCTGAAACATTTCAAAATTACGAACAACTTGTCGCTTGAATTTGGTAAAGCGTGATATAATCGCATCACATTCCCAGCACACAGACATTGGTGTGCTTTCATTCTGCATTACCTGAAATACACAAAAGTAAAAATGTTTTACTGTCCTCTATAAATGGACAGGCTATAAGACAAGATATTTGGTGTCTATTTAATTTTTGTCATTTTAATGCTGATGGCAGCATTCTGTAACAATGGTGTGGCTTGGAACTATACAATATAGATAGATTTAACTGTCACTTAACATCAACATGCGTATTTAAATCAGAACAAAGCGAAAGATGTCATTTCCAAGCAATTGCTTATCCAATGATAGAGAACAGTGTTGCAGATGTACTGTGTAATGGATATAGAGAACGTAGAAAAGAAGATATAGAGGGCATTTCCCTTATTATTGCTCCCCGCCTCTTCCAAATCTTTTTATCATCCTTTATAAGAAACTGGAGGAGTTAAATTAGGCCTATGGAACGCGGGACATTAGTGAATATTAACGTCGATAGACCAGTATACCCCAGAGTGTTGGTAATAATTAATTGATAAAGAACTTTACCGGTATTTCACTTAGAATTTGTAAAAAACATTTCTTCTTCCAGTAGTCTTCAAGAATTAACATTTTTCTACCTACACAAAGGCATCCTATACACAAAACACCGTCAGTTATCTCCATCGGACCGTCTATATTGTAACGATAGTAATTATTGTCTTTGTTTCATTTAGAAATTTCAATTATTTAGTAAAAACTTGAGTTGAAACTAAAACAACGAAGAAAAACCGAAACCAAACATATTTGACAATGTCACTGTCAAATTTAAGTCATTCATTCTAATTCTATCACTCATTCAATGTTACCATTTACAAATGTTTTTTTTTTTATTTATTTTAGAAAAATCTAAACAATAATTCTAATATTAATATTCTTAACATTTATTTACACAAAACCAAAATGTCTTTTAAATGAAAAAATTTACATATTTTTCCAAAGCTAGGGGATATAAAGCGAGTGTGGCCACTGAGAGTGCTGATGCTACTGCAGGCCGAGACTCAAAGATTTCCATAACTGCGACCATGACAAATGCAAAACCCATCATGCGAATATCAATAAAACAGATATGCAAACCAATAGATTCCTACTCATAAACACAAATGTTAAGCGAAATAATAGGTTCCAGAGGGTTGTTGGGGAGACTTCCTTAAGTGTTGCCATACAACACAAAGATTTCGATAAGAAACACCTGTATAAATCTATAATACAGTTATGTAAGACTAAAACAAATGATAAATTTCAGTAGAAATAAATAAAACAACCTTTTTTACTTATATATAGTTTATTTAAATATTTCCTTACAAAAACTTAGATGCTGTCATTTTTTTAACTTTTAACTATACAGCATCAAAATCGTCTCTCTGAAACAAATAAAATTAAATTTATTAATTATTCTATTACCAGAAATATTATTTTAATAGTAATCATCATCATCAGCTCATCATACACCCTCACTGAGGGGCTCGGAGCCTACCCTAAGTTAGTGCAAGGCAATCAACCACGCTGACCAAGTGCGGGTTGACTACACACATATCTTTGAATTTTTTCTCAGATGTAAGTATTATAGATTAAAATATACATACCATTTCATTGTACTCCATAATATGTTTCTTAATAGCCGATGAATCTATCCATGTGACGAAATCTTCTAATGCTCTTGTCACTAGGAATGATGGGTTCTTAACAAGTTGAGCGCCCACTCTCACATGTCCTTGTTCAATCAATTTTGTTGCTTCTTTCAAATTCTCTGACATTTTATCTAGGAAAAAAAATTACGTATTGTAATTTCTACGATAGTTTTTCATAAACTTTTGGTTACATTAACCAGTTATTACTAGCAGTCGCCTGTGACGCCGTCCGCGTGGAATGAAAGAAAGCTTAATTTGTTCAAGGCAATTATTCAATTTATTCTCTGTTTTTTTTTGCCCATAGACATTCGCAATTACATATGCGTTGCCTTTAATCGACGGAGGAGAGGATGCACAGAAAGAAAATATTTTCCCCTTCCATGCATCCTCTCATCCGGAAAGTCCACTTCCACTTCCCAACCCTTCCTCATAAGAAAAAGAGGGGAAGGAGGACTAAATTAGGCCTCCGGGACGCATACTCATCAGTCTGTAGTTGGAATTGCTTCCACTTCACGCCTGTCTGCTGTGTGGTCGTGGTAATTCACCGGGCGAGCCGGGCCGATTCGTGCGAAGATGTTAAAGCTGGCTCTACCTCTTTAAGAGCAATTCATTGTCTTTCCATTAGATAGCGTCATCAGAAAAGTAAAAGATACTGGCACATATTGGCGCCGTGAGATTTTATATTTTTATCAAATCAAGTAATCTTTAGTTATATTTTTCATTATAATTAAGAGTGAGTTTTTACAATGAGCTGAGAAAGTGTTGTCTTTAAAGTTCTTACTTATTATATCATAGTGTCTTGTTGTATATTTTTTTTATAAAGTTATAATTATAAATTGATAATAAATATTTTAGATTGAAGAGTGCGTTGCTTTTTTTTGAACAATCCCACCTTCCTTAGACCTCCATGAACATTTCAAGACTAAGATAAGATAAAATGTTTAGCCGTTCTGGAGTTTTAGAGAGACTAACAAACAGCAATAGAATATTATATATATATATATATAGATAACTCAAGCAATAAAACATCAAAAATACTGTTAATATTATAGACAATAAAATGAATCAATGAACCTTGAAATCGTACTTTAGTACTCGTAAATAATGTCTTACTAATATTATAAATGCGAATGTTCAGATGGATGGATGTTTGTTTGAAGGTATCTACAGAATGGCTAAACAGATCTTGATGAAATTCGACACAGATGTAGAACATAGTCTGGAAGACTACATACATATACTACAGGCTACTTATTAAGTTTTTTTTCCACACTGACAGAGTTACCTGTGACAACTAGTAATATTATATACACCCAAGTTTGGTAGCTCAATTGATGAATGTTTGTTAAAAGGTCACAATGGAACAACTATATGGGTCTAAATAAAATTTGTTATAGATGTAGGATAGACTGGAACAACACATAGTCTACTGAATAGTTTTTTTAAATTCCTCACGGACGGACTCACATGTGCCTACGTTTACCACTAAAAATATGTGAACTTACTTCTCAGCATGACCACGGGTAGCCTGCGCCGACAAAATGAGCTTGCAGAGACACGTGAAGCTAGAGCTAAGTCCCATCTAGTTGGTATCAAACCCATTTGGTACAATTTCTCTAAAAGACGTGCACTCGATATTGTTCTAAAATTTGATCCTGCATCCAGATCTTTGATTTTATTGGCAATATTCCTTATATCCCTTGAAAGCACATTGTACCTAATAGAAAAAAACATTTTTGTTTTGAAAAATTTAAATAAATCAAACGTCCAACTGTTGTACGCGAATAAGTGGTAACCTCCATGAGCGAGAGGCAATTGATTTTCGTCAATGAGAAAGACAGGTAAAAGAGAAATCTCTGCAAGTCAGAAAAATATCGCAGATCCTTGGACTCTCGCTTATCCAGGTAATATTGTATTTCCAATTTTTTTACTATACAGTTAGAGAAATGGAACTATCAAAGCTAAAAAGCAATAGTTGTATTACAATGTACATAGGCGTCGTTGAACACCACAGTGTTTCCGGTTAACGCTTCTTTGGCTCCTTATAAAAAATCAATTAAAAAGGTAATATGTATTAAAACTTACAATGTATAATCTTCACGTTTCTGTATGTAAAACTTCTTCATCACCTTTACTTCGCTTAAATTGTTGTCTACCTTCCATGATATAAAATCTACTTTTTTAAGTAACTTTTTCTCGTGAAATTTCAATGCACGTACCATTTTTTAATATTCAACTAATCAGAACACAATCAAAACTATTTGATATTAAAAAAAACCTTAATAACCCAGTTTCAATAACAAACAAATGCACGTTTTAAAACTTGTCAAAACGACATTGGCATTGACTAGGGATGATCTTGATTCGATTCCTGCGATCAAATAAATCGATGTCGTACTGAATCGATATTGACTTGCACTGGAAAGTCGAGGCTTAAACGAAGAATTTAATATTTGATACTACACTTTACTGGCAATAACAAAAAAACTTTACTTATCACCATGCTCACCAAAGAGTATATAAAATAAGAAGGAATCGCCATCCTTTGTGTAGACTTTTATTATCTGTGGCACAAATCTCTTGTCTATGTCAAATGTGTATTATTGATTTTTGCGCATATAAAGAGTACAATTTGATTATTTTCTCTACTGAGTTTTATTAAATTATAACATCACAAACATTCTGTAAACCAAGTTTTTACATGGTTATACTAAGTTTGAATAAGGAAACTGTGGAAATCGAAAATAATGTGGTGGATCGTTCCTTCTTCTGTTGTGATTAGAGCCAGTGATACTGATATATTAATTATGCTCGACAATATAAAGTTATTAAAAAATCCTTCTTCCCATATTTGGATGCTGATCGGAACTGGTAATAATGAAAGATTTATTAACATCACTGGAATATATGAAGAACTGAGTGAATTATTAGTAGAAAGCTTGAGTGGATTCCATGCATCTACCGGATCGGACTTAAATCTTGCCTATTTTAACAAAGGAAAGAAAAGACCTTTTAAATTATTACAACAATTTTTTGGAATTTCAAAAAGCTTTTGCAGGTCTTGGAGATTTAAATTTAACAGTGAAAAATTTACGAAGCCTGTTCGACATCATCCAAAAGTTTATTTGCCAAATGTGTGGTACTAAAATACCAGTGGATGTGGATGATGGGAGATTTCAGCTTTTCTTCAGTAGTTATAAAGCTCAGTATATTTCAACATTTAGAAAAATGCTTCTCAAAAACAACCAAACATGTTAACCCCACTTGATATGGTTGGATGGAGGAAGAAATCTCCTATAAATGGTTTGAGGGACATCAACTACCCTGTCTAGTCAGTGACTTCATTGGGGATTCTTTAGGTAATTATATAGTTATAAAATTGACTTTAAGAGACTCGATTAACTAACTTTAATTTTACTTTACAAAAAGTAAAGAAGCAGATTTTTTTACGACTGATACCAAACATTTGAAGTGTCTGGAATATGATCGACGGCTCCATACCCACTTTGCGCAAAGCGATCACTGCAATTCTATTTTCTTTAACATCCCATTCTAATATGATAATGAACACGAAAAAATATGAAGAATGGCGCAAAATAGAAATAAGTTTTTAAAACAATATACATGTTTTAATTTCAAAATCTTTTAATACTAAAAAAGAAAATGTTTAAGTAACAGTATTTATGGCCAGGCACGTTTTTATAATTTTTTCTAATTTCAAAACTATTGCGATTCTGTGATAACGAAGTTAGCCACGCATGTATCACCAACTTTGATTGTCGCGAAATTGTGTAGATCAATGTTTGAATTATTTATAAGCTATAATTTCATAAATATTTGTCTTTATTAATCCTACTAAAAATAAAAACATAACTGCAAAAAAAAGCGAAGTTTACCCTACAGTGGTTGTTAGTAAAACTGCCTAGTCTTGCTAGATGTGACGGCGCATTATGGCCAGATCTCATTCCGTTTATTTTTGTTATGAAATCTCGACTTACATTAGTTTTCAATTTGTCATACTATGGTTTAACAGGTTATCTTGGATACTTCCATACCACTTTCCCTTGTTTTCATGGCCTTTCTTCCATATTTCCGTCCACAGAGTATAAATGTTTTCCTTTAATATTTATAATATAATCAGTAAAAGGAACGTGTTCTCGACACGTAGCGGAACCTTTTTATACGTTTTTACTTATAATTTTTATATTTCGAACGTAATGCATTTTTTCATCCTTTCTTGTTGCTATTTAAAATAACAGCTGTAAATATGTCTTCAAACAAACAGTGCGTTTTCTCTTTTTACTTTATTATGTAACATTCCAAGGTTCCTAAAAATCCAACCGCTATTTTCCGCTATTTTTTAAAATTAGGTGTAAATAGAATTAGTTAGTGAATAATTAGAAGTAGTGACCCCTAAAATTGGAGGGATACGAGGGGAGCCTCGTTTTGACAAAAACGTTTGCGCTTTAAGGATCGTGGTGGTGACCACAAAATGGACCTTAACGTTAGCGGTGGCGGTGAGAGTAACGACCCCTATTTACCCTTTCTCAAACCAAATTATAAAATACTTTATCCAGAGAAATCTGTTAATACCGAATTTATAGTATTTGTCGAAGTAACCAACAAAGACAGTCTGGGCAACAAAAGCCCCACTTACTTCAACCACATTTTTGCAAATGAATTAAAAGGGGTGACGGCAATACAAGGAATAAAATTTGGCAATACCACAGTCGTAAAGATGAAAACTACGATAAGTTGTATAAAGTGCGACCCCTTGTTGATAGGTTGAACAATATATATCAAAGCAATGCATCTGTTGCCGACAGATACGGAACTTTTTACATGTTTTTATTCATAATTGTTATATTTTTGAATTTAGAACTTTATATGTTTTTTCTTCCTTTTTCTCTATTTTTAAACCATCAGTTGTAAATATATTCTTGTAACAGTGCGTGCTTTTCTCCTTATTTCTAATAATTCTATTTAATATTTTCATTTCATCTTTTTATTATATAACTTAATATTCCAAAATTCATCTTAATCCAAACGCTCTTTCCATCCTAACATATTCCGTCGTCTTTAGCATCTATAACCAATTTCTAACAAACATCCATATAAGCTTACAAAATCATACAGAAAGATAAAATCTGGACATAATGTCGGAGATGTGTTTGGTTCAATCGATATAATCACGCATGTGCATCAACTAATGTTGACCAAGATAGTAGTACATTGCGAGGTTTTCAGTCCGGACCTCAGCAGAGCCTCCTGATAACCTCTAGAGCTGCAAACATGATTCCTGAGGAGATTGTCCGTCTTGCCTACATTTTCGTTCTATTCGTAACCAGCTTTTATCTGTGGAAGATCCATAGATGAATGGATGATAAAATTTAAGGGTCGCTATAGCCTAAAACAATTTATGCCTATGAAACCCGTAAAGCGAGGTTAAAAAGTGTGGTGTCGTGCAGACGGCAGTACAGGATACCTTTATCAGTTTCAAGTTTATACTGGCAAAAGCTAACTGTTGAGACAGGACTGGGCAGTAATAACTAATAAAATAACTCATACTCAACCAAATTGAAAACTCATTTCAGCAATTTTACGACAGACTAGATACCCTGGAAAATGCAATAACATTTGCACATATAGAAAAGATGCACCCTAGCATAATCGACGTTTTATATCTAATCGAAGAACTTAATCAAGTACAAAACGAAATTAACGGAAATTTAGAATTTGCTCCAAATATGAATAATATTCACATGTGTGAAAAAACAATTAATTAACCCGAAAATCCTTACCTTGTTTTCGGAAATAACGGGTACGCGAATCCCCACGAGCCTACATGGCTATAGCATAACAGAAGATGAAGTAATCTGCGCACACCTTGAATGGAAGACCTAACTACACTCCAACGACTGCATAGTTCAACTCATTGAACATGAAGAACAATTGTACATCATACAACAAATCAAGGATTGTCCAGCTATTGAGCTGGAAGTCATAAAAATCATATGCAACAAGAATGTTCAATACCAACGCAACAAAGGCGTTTTTCTTATAACAACAAACAATAGCTGCAAGATGCAAATACAAGACAGAACTCTGTTGACTCATCACAGTTACATCAACGATAGATAAACTATACCAATACCACGTTGCATATCAAACGCCGAACGTGGCATCAATCAAGATAACTCTAGCCAACCTAAAGGACACCCTACACCACTCAGAAGATATTGATATCCCCAAAGAGGACACAATAACTATACCATCAACACCCAGTTGGCCATCCATAATAATATATGTACACCTAGGTATTCTTCACTGCAGTCGGAGTCTAGAAACTGTGGTGGAAACCTAGATCGGCGCAAATCACAGCTCAACAAACACACACCTGAAGAAATCCGGCTTCGGTCGCAGCCGTCATTGTTCCTTCATCTTAAGGGCGAAGGAGTTATGTCCTCGTAACTATGTCCTTATACAAGGACAACCTTTGTTATTTAGAATAATTAGGTAATAAGATACGTACGTACGTATCACATATCTTCCTGGTACTCGATAACAGGAAGACATTATCATTAAGTTTATAGCCCTTTCTTTTTATTTAGAATTTTTATATTTTATTCTTCCTTTTTCTAATCCAAAATTGAAGGTTGTAAATAAATCTTCAAACAAAAGTTAAATAAAAAGCAGCTCTTCAAGGCATAAATTCGAAAAATATGAATACATAGTATCCTATGTCCGTCTCCTGGCTCTAAGCTACCTTCTCACCAATTTTTAGTCATATCGGTATATATATATTCGAAGTTTAATCTAAATCCTACCGCTCGTTTCCTTCCTCTTTTTACGTCGTCTTTATAAAACTTTAAATTTTATTGAGATACCGAGGGAATAACCATCCCTGTAACTTATTGTGCTCGTTTCTTGAATCTATAAAGTTCTGGCAAGCAGGTGATTAGCCCACTGTGCCCTATGCTGTTGGCGAGACTGCCGCTTTTGTCGTTGGGCGCACTGTGGACGCCCTCAGCCCCACTACGATGACATAGGACTTTAAGTCAGTAAGTCATAACTTATTGCATTTGTATTCCATATTAAATGTAAGCACCATACTTATCCTAATCACCTTTATCTTATCTTGGGAAGTCAAGTTTTTGCCTATCCTCAAAACATGCAGAACAATATGTCCACTCGTCATGTCAGCATCTGCGGTAACAATTAAAGAAAATAGTTCGATAGCAATTTAGAAATCTTGGCTTACTACCATTGTCATCACATAGGTAAATAAGAAAACAAGACAAGACTGGTAGGCCCGATGTATAATTTTAATTATCACCCCGAATGTAATGTTAAAAGTCAATGTAATTCTTTGCGTTCAACAATTATAAAAATGTATGGAACACAATTATTTTTTTATTTTTACGAACATTGATAGCGTAAGAACCCATACCCGTTGGAAGGATACAGAATAAGGCAATAAAGCGAATTGAGGAAAAGCCAGTAACGCAAGCAAGCCCCGGCCACGAGGAGCGCGCTTGAGCCCTGAGCAAGCTATGAACTTAAAAAAATGTTATAACGATTTCAAGTGGCCGCTTGCTCGTTTGCCGCCTTATAATATAAAAAAAATACGGGGCAGTCATGCCGGCAATAGTGCGAAATAAGTAACAGTTCTTTTAAATTTAAATTAGCAAATTATTTTTCTGTAACCAGTTTTATTTACAGATACCCAAAATACAGTCCACTAGAATAAATCCGGCGTTATTATTGACATCGACAGCAAAACGATAAATTAATTCTCAAGGGTACAATCCTAACTTGACACGGGATCTCTTAGGAATAAGATTCTGTAAAGAACTTCTGCTGGACGTAGGCCTCCCCCATCGATTGACAAGTTTAGGCTGAGTATGATGATGATGATGGTGAAAGAACTTCTACGCAGTATAAGTGAAGTTAATATAAAATATTGTAGAGCGAAGAGTCATCCTATAAGAAAGATGGATATTTAAATCTACATAACTAGGTATCACCACGAAAACCCAAAAATCATAAGGCAAGATATCAAACTATATCAATTCAAAATAAACATTTGGACCGTTCATGACAAAGTGCTTGGTGGGGGCATTAACGCTCTGTTATAACCTTATCTAATATGAAAGGGGTGCACAGACAGCAATTGGGCATTGATCCTGGCATTCAAACCCAGTTCCAGGCACTTACGACAGATCGAGAGTAAGCCTTGACCATTGCAAGCCTTTGTCTACCGAGACTGCTACTATAATTGATAACTGCCGGACTACGGTCAGCGTCCGCAACCGACGAGCTTCAGACTCAACATCAATGGCAAATACGAGGGTGAATCAAAAAGTTCATAGAAGTGCATATATACTGGGTGGCGCAAAAGTACTGGCACTAAAGAAAATACTTTTTTTTTTTATATGACATTTTCTGTCATTCTGTTGTTGAAAATTGTGTAGTGAACAAATGTAAAATACACTGAAAATAAACATGAACCGTTTTACTCCCCAAGAACGTGGAATAATTGTGTCAATGTTCTTACGGAATAATTCATCAGTGATAAGAACACAACGTGAATTTCGTCGACGATTTCCCCACCGTCCGGCACCGATTGGTCGCACAATTCGACGCTTTGCCACACGCCTTGAAGCAACTGGCTCAACATTGGATAGACCTAAGTCTGGGAGACCAAGAACAGGCCGTTCAGCTGAAAATATCGATGCTGTGCGCGAAGATGTGGAAGAGTGTTCAGAAACATCAACGAGGCGACGTGCCACGCAATTGGGCATTTCCAGACGGACCCTGCAGCGTATTTTGGTGAAAGACTTAAAGATGTTCCCGTATAAAACTCAAATGACTCATCAACTGCTGCCTGCTGACCACCGAGCTCGTCTAGATTACTGCCAGCGCGTCATAAACCTCAACCTTGAAGAGGATGATTTTCCTTCAAAATTGGTTATGAGTGACGAAGCGCATTTCCATCTCTCAGGGCATGTCAATAAGCAGAATACTCGGTTCTGGGGCACTGATAATCCGCGCATTATTCAAGAAACACCTCTACACCCACTAAAAGTTACTGTATGGTGTGGCATCTGTGTTGACAGAGTGATCGGACCCTATTTTTTCGAAGACGCTGGAGGCAATGCGATAACTGTCACTGGAGAATGCTACAGAACAATGTTACGTGAGTTTTTGATACCCAGTTTGGACGAATTGGGGCTGGAGCACATCTGGTTTCAACAAGACGGCGCTACGGCACACACAGCGCGCGACACTATGGACTTAGTGAGGGACGCTTTTCCAAGCCGAGTTATCTCTCATTTTGGCGATTTGCCTTGGCCTGCAAGATCACCCGATCTGACCAGTCCAGACTTCTTTCTTTGGGGTTTTTTGAAATCTCGGGTGTATGTGAACAAGCCACAGACTCTCGCAGCTCTAAAAGAAAACATTCGTCAAGAAATAACGAACATATCGCAGGAAGTGTTACGGCAAGTTATGCAAAATGTCATAAATAGGGCTCAAATGTGTATCAACTCTGGAGGTCACCATTTAAAAGTCATCATCTTTAAATCCTAATGGTACGAAATTTAATGGCACAAATATACATTTAAAAAAACCTAAATCTAGTTTTCTAATTTAGAAAAAATGTTATAGCTGAACCAAATAGGGTCTTTACTTTTGCGCCACCCAGTATAATCAGTAAAAGGAACGTGTTCTCGACACATAACGGAACCTTTTTATACGTTTTTACTTATAATTTTTATGTTTCGAACGTAATGTATTTTTTCTTCCTTTTTTGTTGCTATTTAAAATAACAGTTGTAAATATATCTTCAAACAAACAGTGCGTGCTAATATTATTTCATTATTCTATTTTATATTTTCATTTTCTCTTTTTACTTTATTATGTAACATTCCAAGGTTCCTAAAAATCCAACCGCTATTTTCCATCCTCTTTATTTTCCGTCTTGTTTAGAACGAATAGTGAGTGTGTTTTGTTTGTCAGTGTTTTTTTATTATTAAAATTAGGTGTAAATAGAATTAGTTAGTGAATAATTAGAAGTAGTGACCCTTAGAATTGGAGGGATACGAGGGGAGCCTCGTTTTGACAAAAACGTTTGCGCTTTAAGGATCGTGGTGGTGACCACAAAATGGACCTTAACGTTAGCGGTGGCGGTGAGAGTAACCTATTTACCGTTTCTCAAACCAAATTATAAAATACTTTATCCAGAGAAATCTGTTAATACCGAATTTATAGTATTTGTCGAAGTAACCAACAAAGACAGACTAGGCAACAAAAGCCCCACTTCAACCACATTTTTGCAAATGAATTAAAAGGGGTGACGGCAATACAAGGAATAAAATTTGGCAATACCAGAGTCGTAAAGATGAAAACTACGATAAGTTGTATAAAGTGCGACCCCTTTTTGATAGGTTGAACAATATATATCAAAGCAATGCATCTGTTGCCGACAGATACGGAACTTTTTACATGTTTTTATTCATAATTGTTATATTTTTGAATTTAGAACTTTATATGTTTTTTCTTCCTTTTTCTCTATTTTTAAACCATCAGTTGTAAATATATTCTTGTAACAGTGCGTGCTTTTCTCTTTATTTCTAATGATTCTATTTAATATTTTCATTTTATCTTTTTATTATATAACATAATATTCCAAAATTCATCCCAATCCAAACGCTCTTTCCATCCTAACATATTCCGTCGTCTTTAGCATCTATAACCAATTTCTAACAAACATCCATATTAGCTTACAAAATCATACAGAAAGATAAAATCTGGACATAATGTCGGAGATGTGTTTGGTTCAATCGATATAATCACGCATGTGCATCAACTAATGTTGACCAAGATAGCAGTACATTGCGAGGTTTTCAGTCCGGACCTCAGCAGAGCCTCCTGATAACCTCTAGAGCTGCAAACATGATTCCTGAGGAGATTATCCGTCTTGCCTACATTTTCGTTCTATTCGTAACCAGCTTTTATCTGTGGAAGATCCATAGATGAATGGATGATAAAATTTAAGGGTCGCTATAGCCTAAAACAATTTATGCCTATGAAACCCGTAAAGCGAGGTTAAAAAGTGTGGTGTCGTGCAGACAGAAGTACAGAATACCTTTATCAGTTTCAAGTTTATACTGGCAAAAGTGATACTGTTGAGACAGGACTGGGCAGTAATGTTGTGAAATCATTATGTGAGCCTGCAAAAGCGGCAGCATCGCCACGCAGTGCTCCAGCACTGCTTTAATATTTGATCCTACACTTTACTGGCAATAACAAAAAAACTTTACTTATCACCATGCTCACCAAAGAGTATATAAAATAAGAAGGAATCGCCATCCCTTGTGTAGACTTTTATTATCTGTGGCACAAATCTCTTGTCTATGTCAAATGTGTATTATTGATTATTGCGCATATAAAGAGTACAACTTGATTATTTTCTCTACTGAGTTTTATTAAATTATAACATCACAAACATTCTGCTAACCTATAAGTTTTTACATGGTTATACTAAGTTTGAATAAGGAAACTGTGGAAATCGAAAATAATGTGGTGGATCGTTCCTTCTTCTGTTGTGATTAGAGCCAGTGATACTGATATATTAATTATGCTCGACAATATAAAGTTATTAAAAAATCCTTCTTCCCATATTTGGATGCTGATCGGAACTGGTAATAATGAAAGATTTATTAACATCACTGGAATATATGAAGAACTGAGTGAATTATTAGTAGAAAGCTTGAGTGGATTCCATGCATCTACCGGATCGGACTTAAATCTTGCCTATTTTAACAAAGGAAAGAAAAGACCTTTTAAATTATTACAACAATTTTTGGGATTTCAAAAAGCTATTGCAGATCTTGGACATTTAAATTTAACAGAGAAAAATTTACGAAGCCTGTTCGACATCATCCAAAAGTTTATTTGCCAAATGTGTGGTACTAAAATACCAGTGGATGTGGATGATGGGAGATTTCAGCTTTCTTCAGTAGTTATAAACCTCAGTATATTTCAACATTTAGAAAAATGCTTCTCAAAAACAACCAAACATGTTAACCCCACTTGAGTATGGTTGGGTGGAGGAAGAAATCTCCTATAAATGGTTTGAGGGAGATCAACTACCCTGTCTAGTCAGTGACTTCATTGGGGATTCTTTAGGTAATTATATATTATATAGTTATAAAATTGACTTTAAGAGACTCTATTAACTAACTTTAATTTTACTTTACAAAAAGTAAAGAAGCAGATTTTTTTACGACTGATACCAAACATTTGAAGTGTCTGGAATATGATCGACGGCTCCATACCCACTTTGCGCAAAGCTAAAAAAGAAAATGTTTAAGTAACAGTATTTATGGCCAGGCTCGTTTTTATAATTTTTTCTAATTTCAAAACTATTGCGATTCTGTGATAACGAAGTTAGCCACGCATGTATCACCATCTTTGATTGTCGCGAAATTGTGTAGATCAATGTTTGAATTATTAGCTATAATTTCATAAATATTTGTCTTTATTAATCCTACTAAAAATAAAAACATAATTTTGCAACAAAAAAAAAGCGAAGTTTACCCTACAGTGGTTGTTAGTAAAACTGCCTAGTATAGCTAGATGTGACGGCGCATTATGGCCAGATCTCATTCCGTTTATTTTTGTTATGAAATCTCGACTTACATTAATTTTCAATTTGTCATACTATGGTTTAACAGGTTATCTTGGATACTTCCATACCACTTTCCCTTGTTTTCATGGCCTTTCTTCCATATTTCCGTCCACAGAGTATAAATGCTTTCGTTAATATTTATAATATAATCAGTAAAAGGAACGTGTTCTCGACACATAACGGAACTTTTTTATACGTTTTTACTTATAATTTTTATATTTCGAACGTAATGCATTTTTTCTTCCTTTTTTGTTGCTATTTAAAATAACAGCTGTAAATATGTCTTCAAACAAACAGTGCGTTTTCTCTTTTTACTTTATTATGTAACATTCCAAGGTTCCTAAAAATCCAACCGCTATTTTACATCCTCTTTATTTTCCGTCGTCTTTAGAACGGATAGTGAGTGTGTTTTGTTTGTCAGTGTTTTTTTATTATTAAAATTAGGTGTAAATAGAATTAGTTAGTGAATAATTAGAAGTAGTGACCCTTAGACTTGGAGGGATACGAGGGGAGCCTCGTTTTGACAAAAACGTTTGCGCTTTAAGGATCGTGGTGGTGACCACAAAATGGACCTTAACGTTAGCGGTGGCGGTGAGAGTAACGACCCCTATTTACCCTTTCTCAAACCAAATTATAAAAGAAGTTATCCAGAGAAATCTATTAATACCGAATTTATAGTATTTGTCGAAGTAACCAACAAAGACAGACTGGGCAACAAAAGCCCCACTTCAACCACATTTTTGCAAATGAATTAAAAGGGGTGACGGCAATACAAGGAATAAAATTTGGCAATACCAGAGTCGTAAAGATGAAAACTACGATAAGTTGTATAAAGTGCGACCCCTTGTTGATAGGTTGAACAATATATATCAAAGCAATGCATCTGTTGCCGACAGATACGGAACTTTTTACATGTTTTTATTCATAATTGTTATATTTTTGAATTTAGAACTTTATATGTTTTTTCTTCCTTTTTCTCTATTTTTAAACCATCAGTTGTTGTAAATATATTCTTGTAACAGTGCGTGCTTTTCTCCTTATTTCTAATAATTCTATTTAATATTTTCATTTCATCTTTTTATTATATAACTTAATATTCCAAAATTCATCTTAATCCAAACGCTCTTTCCATCCTAACATATTCCGTCGTCTTTAGCATCTATAACCAATTTCTAACAAACATCCATATAAGCTTACAAAATCATACAGAAAGATAAAATCTGGACATAATGTCGGAGATGTGTTTGGTTCAATCGATATAATCACGCATGTGCATCAACTAATGTTGACCAAGATAGCAGTACATTGCGAGGTTTTCAGTCCGGACCTCAGCAGAGCCTCCTGATAACCTCTAGAGCTGCAAACATGATTCCTGAGGAGATTGTCCGTCTTGCCTACATTTTCGTTACATTCGTAACCAGCTTTTATCTGTGGAAGATCCATATATGAATGGATGATAAAATTTAAGGGTCGCTATAGCCTAAAACAATTTATGCCTATGAAACCCGTAAAGCGAGGTTAAAAAGTGTGGTGTCGTGCAGACAGAAGTACAAAATACCTTTATCAGTTTCAAGTTTATACTGGCAAAAGCTAACTGTTGAGACAGGACTGGGTAGTAATGTTGTGAAATCATTATGTGAGCCTTCAAAAGTGGCATCATCGCCACGCAGTGCTCCAGCTCGCCGTAACTCATACTCAACCAAACTAGAAACCCTGGAAAATGCAATAACATTTGCACACATAGAAAAGATGCACCCTAGCATAATCGACGTTTTTTATCTAATCGAAGAACTTAATCAAATACAAAACGAAATTAACGGTAATTTGGGTTTGCCCCAAATATAAATATTCATGTGTGAAAAAACAATTAATTAACCCGAAAATCCTTATCTTGTTTTGGGAAATAACGGGTACGCGAATCCCCACGAGCCTACATGGCTATAGCATAACAGAAGATGAAGTAATCTGCGCACACCTTGAATGGAAGACCTAACTACACTCCAACGACTGCATAGCTCAACTCATTGAACATCAAGAACAATTGTACATCATACAAAAAATCAAGGATTGTCCAGCTATTGAGCTGGAAGTCATAAAAACCATATGCAACAAGAATGTTCAATACCAACGCAACAATGGAGTTTTTCTTATAACAACAAACAATAGCTGCAAGATACAAATACAAGACAGAACTCTGTCGACTCATCACAGTTACATCAACGATAGATAAACTATACCAATACCACGTTGCATATCAAACGCCGAACGTGGCATCAATCAAGATAACTCTAGCCAACCTAAAGGACACCCTACACCACTCAGAAGATATTGATATCCCCAAAGAGGACACAATAACTATACCATCAACACCCAGTTGGCCATCCAAATATATGTACACCTTGGTATTCTTCACTGGTGTCGGAGTAGCAGTCTAGAAACTGCGGTGGAAACCTAGATCGGCGCAAATCACAGCTCAATAAACACACACCTGAAGAAATCCGGCTTCGGTCGCAGCCGTCATTGTTCCTCCATCTTAAGAGGGGAGGAGTTATGTCCTCGTAACTATGTCCTTACACAAGGACAACCTTTGTTATTTAGAATAATTAGGTAATAAGATAACGTATCACATATCTTCCTGGTACTCGATAACAGGAAGACATTATCATTAAGCTTATAGCCCTTTGTTTTTATTTAGAATTTTTATATTTTATTCTTCCTTTTTCTAATCCAAAATTGAAGGTTGTAAATAAATCTTCAAACAAAAGTTAAATAAAAAGCAGCTCTTCAAGGCATAAATTCGAAAAATATGAATACATAGTATCCTATGTCCGTCTCCTGGCTCTAAGCTAGCTCCTCAACAATTTTCAGTCATATCGGTATGAATATATTCGAAGTTTAATCTAAATCCTACCGCTCGTTTCCTTCCTCTTTTTACGTCGTCTTTATAAAACTTTAAATTTTATTGAGATACCGAGGGATTAACCATCCCTGTAACTTATTGTGCTCGTTTCTTGAATCTATAAAGTTCGGGCAAGCAGGTGATTAGCCCACTGGCCTATGCTGTTGGCGAGACTGCCGCTTTTGTCGTTGGGCGCACTGTGGACGCCCTCAGCCCCACTACGGTGACATAGGACTTTAAGTCAGTAAGTCATAACTTATTGCATTTGTATTCCATATTAAATGTAAGCACCATACTTATCCTAATCACCTTTATCTTATCTTGGAAAGCCAAGTTTTTGCCTATCCTCAAAACTTGCAGAACAATATGTCTACTCGTCATGTCAGCATCTGCGGTAACAATCTCCAGAGGATTCTAAAGACAGAAGAATTAAAGAAAATAGTTCGATAGCAATTTAGAAATCTTGGCTTACTACCATTGTCATCACATAGGTATAAAAGAAATAAGAAAACAAGACAAGACTGGTAGGCCCGATGTATAATTTTAATTATCACCCCGAATGTAATGTTAAAAGTCAATGTAATTCTTTGCGTTCAACAATTATAAAAATGTATGGAACACAATTATTTTTTTTATTTTTACGAACATTGATAGCGTAAGAACCCATACCCGTTGGAAGGATACAGAATAAGGCAATAAAGCGAATTGAGGAAAAGCCAGTAACGCAAGCGTTATTATTGAAATCGACAGCAAAACGATAAATTAATTCTCAAGGGTACAATCCTAACTTGACACGGGATCTCTTAGGAATAAGATTCTGTAAAGAACTTCTGCTGGACGTAGGCCTCCCCCATCGATTGACAAGTTTAGGCTGAGTATGATGATGATGATGGTGATAGAACTTCTACGCAGTATAAGTGAAGTTAATATAAAATATTGTAGAGCGAAGAGTCATCCTATAAGAAAGATGGATATTTAAATCTACATAACTAGGTATCACCACGAAAACCCAAAAATCATAAGGCAAGATATCAAACTATATCAATTCAAAATAAACATTTGGACCGTTCATGACAAAGTGCTTGGTGGGGGCATTAACGCTCTGTTATAACCTTATCTAATATGAAAGGGGTGCACAGACAGCAATTGGGCATTGATCCTGGCATTCAAACCCAGTTCCAGGCACTTACGACAGATCGAGAGTAAGCCTTGACCATTGCAAGCCTTTGTCTACCGAGACTGCTACTATAATTGATAACTGCCGGACTACGGTCAGCGTCCGCAACCGACGAGCTTCAGACTCAACATCAATGGCAAATACGAGGGTGAATCAAAAAGTTCTTAGAAGTGCATATATATAAAACCTTTTTGGATCAAGTTCGATATTCAAATTAACGAGTGTCTATCACACTATATTTATGCAGACTGTCACTTGTTTTTGTCAGTTCGTTCGCATGTAATAAATTTTTTTGTGCAACGAGTTGCTAAAAAGTCAAAATTATGGATAAAAGTGAGTTACGTGCGGTGATAAAATATCTGTTTGAAAAAAATGTCTACGAAGGAAATTTTTTTGGACATTCAGCAGACATTAGGGGGTGATGCTGTACCCTATTCTACGGTTGCGTACTGGGTGGCTGAATTTAAAAGAGGTAGATCAAGCTGTAAAGATGACCCGCGTTCTGGGCGGCCTTCAACCTCCGTTTCAGAAGAAAATGTCAAAAAGGTTGAGAATCTGGTTTTGGAAGACAGAAGAATGACTATAAAACATATAGCTGAGATCCTAAAGATATCTTTTGGTAGCGTTCAATCCATTTTAATTGATTCACTGGGGTTCAAAAAAGTGTCTGCAAGATGAGTGCCACGAATGTTCACCGACGAAAACAAAAAGCGACGTAATTTCCAATCGTAATCTCGAAATGTTCCAGCGTGATTCGGATAATTTTTGCCGTCGTCTTGTCACCATGGATGAAACGTGGGTCCACCATTTTGATCCTGAAACTAAAAGACAAAGCATGTCTTGGAAACGGCCATCCTCTCCATCCATCAAGAAATTTCGAGTTGCTCCTACCGCTGGCAAAGTTATGGCCTCTGTGTTCTGGGATAGTGAAGGAATCCTTTTTATTGATTACATGCCAAAAGGCCAGACGATTACTGGACCCTATTAAGCAAATTTAATCCCGAAAGTGCGTGAAGCGATCGATCGGAAGTTGCGCTCAACGCAATCCGCTGCGCTGGCTTCAATCTCCTTGACCACTCACCATATTCTCCGCACTTAGCCCCAAGTGATTTTCACTTATTTCCAAAATTAAAGAAGGAAATTCGTGGTACAAAATTTCACGATAATGACGCGGTTATAGCTGCCGTAGAGGACTTTTTCGAGAGTCAAGGAAATAATTTTTTTTCACAAGGAATAAGGAAGTTAGAAACGCGTTATTCTAAATGCATTGCATTGGAGGAAGATTATGTAGAAAAATAAAATATTATTATTTAAATCTTTGCATTTTTTAATATTGATTCCAAGATTTTTTTGATTCACCCTCGTATAATAACGCAA